CCCCTGCTCTTTGTCTTCTCTGGAGAGAATGCCTGTTCTTCTCCCCCTTCCCCACAACCTGTTCTTTTCTTTTTAAAATGTTTATTTTGTATGGGAGTAGAGTCAATTAACAATACTGTGATTGTTTCAGATGGACAGCAAAGGAACTCAGCCATACACATACAGATGTCCATTCTCCTCCAAAATCCCCTCCCATCCAGGCTGCCACATCACACTGGGCAGAGCTGCATAGGTGCTACAGAGTAAGTCATTGTTGGTTACCCATTTTAAATAGCAGAGCCCACAACTGGTTCTTTATACCATGCTAAGGCCCTCTAGGAAGCCTCCCTGGCTACTCCAGGCTGGGTTGGAGGACTTTCTATGGTGCTCCCCTGGTGTAGCCCTCACCCACTAATCTGATCCAGCACTCCTTTGCAGATCCCACAAGGGGAGGGTGCATTTACATGGAATCAGTGTAGATTTGCCTGTACCCAAGTGGGCCTCCTAATGCCTCCATGACACTGGGCTTTAGAATTCCTGAAATTCCCTCTCTTTCTCAAAGCCTTCTTTGGCCCATCAGCCTGCTTTGAGCTCCCATAAGGAGCTGACGTGAAGCCTCCACCGCGTGCTGGGGATTTGCAGTCACTGTGCTCCTTTATTCATCTTAGCATCCAACCTCCCCACAGAAGGGTTGGTACCCCAACTCACAGAGGGGGCACTGGGGTTTAACAAGGGGAAGTTGTGGCAAGGACAGGGTAGCTATATAATTTATCATCTAAACCAGGACACTTTTGAGGAGGAAAGGGAGACTAGGGTGTGACAGCACCCTGGGACTGTCCCCAGTCACTCCCCTGCCTTTGTCACATGTCCCGTTTCAGGGATTGCTAGAGCTGACTTTCCTTGTTCATGCATCTGAGGGTTCTGGTTGCACTGAAGGTCTCTGAGGACAGAGGCCCTTAGTGTTCCCCTCTCCTTGTGCCCCTCACTAGGCCGGGATGCCGTGGTGTCTCCACATTTTTATCAGCAGGATGGATGTCCCAGACTGTCCATTATGCTCAAGTGGATGATTTTGTGGGAGGCAGTGGCCCAACCACAGGGGCTCAGCAGCATCTGCAATGGTGTGGCTTGGCCTGAAGAGGGTGCCTTCCTCCCAGCAGCAGCCCAAGGGTTCCTGCAAGTTCCACATCTGAGAACCAGCCCCCAGGATTGGCCCCTCACCTTCTCCATGTAAGCTTGAGCAGGCACAGGGTAGTCAATTCCATTGATGGTGAAGATGAGAGGAGGCAACGTACTGGTGAGATTACATGGAATCTGAATACGTTAGAGGAATAGGGAGGGAGGTTGACCAGCTGATCCTTGGGGTGTGGAGAGCCAGAGAGTGGCCCTGTGGCCTCACCCCTCACCTTGCTACCCTCAGTGGGCTTCGGCTGAAGGAACCTGTCGATTTTGGTGACTGCATCACTTGGGCCCATCAGCATCGTCGTCCCAGTGTCCACAAGGGCCTGACATCCGCAGGAACAAGCAACCACCGTCCCGTTAATGGAGATGCTGGGAGACAGTGGGACAAAGTGGGCACCAGGGTCACTATGTAGCCTCCCCTACAGCTGCTGCCTCCCTGAAAGTCTCCTGAACAGTCGGGGCTTCAGCTCTCACCCTGACTCTGATTTCCTTTGCTTTGGTCATGTCACCTTCTTTGACATCCTTGCACTTCTTGATGCACCAAGGTCTTTCATGCCTCAGGGCCTGGGCATGTACCATTGCCCTTCCCGCACGACCACCATACCCTCTGTTGCATTAATTTGTCCTCATCTTCCAGGTTTAGGCTTAACTGTCACTTTGTCAGAGACTCTTCCCACCAGACTAGATCAGGTTCCTGTCTTGCTCACTCTCTGTAGACTCTTCCTTATGTCTAGCAAGTACCAAAGTGGTAATTCACTGTGTATGTGACTCATTTCATGTATGACTGCTTTACTAGATGAGAGGGCAAGTTTGACCCCAGTGCCTCTCAGCACACAGCAGATGCCTGATGTAATTTTTTTTGAATTAATGAATTAAGAAATGAATGAGGAACAGTCAGAAACCTGGGTCTGGTGTTGACCATTAATAGTTCAACCCACACAGAGAAGATGGAAGTTCTCTGGGGAAGCAGACGTTCAGAGAGGGAGTGGGGGAGATACAGGCTCCCCAGGAGATGTTGTCTCCTAGCAACACCTCACCTGGCTCAGACTGAGGCTGTGGCTAGAGGATGCCCAAGCTAGCTCATGGGAAGCAAAAGGGCACATCAGCTTTGTCTGAGGGTATCACACAGAATGCCATTGATTATTGCCCATTGTTTTCAGGCCACACCTGGATCCCAGCTTCCTGATTCTCTCTGTCACAACCTCTCCCCGTTGAAACCAACCTGTCTCCACTGCTGTGTAGCTTCTTTCTGAGGAGGCCAGGTTTCTGAGTTTGTCTAGGACTTGCCGTGTTTTTCAAGCGGCAGTTCTGTGTGCTAAGAAGTCCCGCCTGCCCGGTAGCCCTGGTCATTTGGACATCTTAACACAACCCTGATCAGACTGGTGAGATTCTCCCTGATCAACTTTTTATCACAGTGTAGGCTCCTAAAGCATGCTCCCCACCTCACAGCGCAGCAAGTGCTCCCCTCCNTGTCTCCTGTACAATGTCACAAACCTCCATCCATAGTTCATCATGCACTCTATCAGATCTAGTCCCTTAAACCTATTTCTCACTTCCACTGTACTTTCATCACCTCACAAAGAAACCCAAAGCCATTCTACTCCCTCCCACTCCCAGTCTTAGGCAAATACTAATACATGTTCTGTCTCTATGGATTGCCCATCTTTGGATATTTCATATAAATTGACTTATACAATATGTATTTGTGTGTGTGTGTGTGTGTGTGTGTGTGTGTGAGTGTGTGTGTGAGGGAGAGAGATAAAGAGTGAATGAGTGAGAGATAGAGAAAATAGTCAGGTACTTTGGGAGAGACAGGCCATAGTTTTTACTAGACTTTCAATGGTCTCCCAGACTGAGAACCCATTTATCAGGCCCCACCCACATATGTGGCTCCCTATTTCCCTGGGTGGATAACTAAAGCCCTGAACTGCCCCCAGTGGCCCCAGATCAGTTTTATCCTCTCCTGAAACACTCCACACCTGCTTGACTGGCCTGTCTGGCCAGCCCAGCCCCATTGCTTTACCAGATGTGTGACTTTGGCAGGTCCTTGCTCTCTGCACGTCAGTTCTCTTACCTGCCTGTATGATGGAGCTAATCACAGTATCTGCTATGTGGGATTGTTGTAGGATTAAACAAGTTATTACCATGAATATGCCCGGCATAGTCTGAGAATAAATGTGGGTGCTTTTCCCCTTCTCTCCCTGCTTCCAGCAACATGAACCTTGAGCTGTTCGTGGGCAAAGGAGCTGCAGGTCCGCAGCCTAAGCCCCTCTCTGGGTTGGCCTTTCTGGGAGGCTGTGTGTCAGCAGAGGTGCTATTTCTCCAGGGACAGTTCTGAGGGGCAGACAGCCAGTCACTTAGGGGCTTTCAGAAGGAAGGGCTTTGCCATCTGGTCCTGTGCTATTTTGTGAGCAGTAGTCACTCTCAAAGCCTGCCCTGACTCAACTCCTTGTTTCCAGCTTACCCGAATGGTGTCATAGCCAAGAACTCCCTTCATCCACGCAAGGCCGTAGGAGAGGCTGATAGACTGGTTCGAGGGGAGGAAGGTATTGGATGCCTCAGGGTTGAAGCGAATCATTGCAGCTGGGGACAAAAGAGATGAGCGTGTCAGGTGCCAAGGATGGAGAAGGAGGTGTGATGGGGAGTCCGGGATGGTCGGGGCTGGGGTGGTACTTACAGCAGCTTGGACTGTGACAGTAGACTGAGGCAACCCATGTGACAGATGAGCCGGTGTCAAAGATGACCCGGAACTCTTGAGGAGGTGTTCCGATGGTGATGTTTCCAGTGTAGAAGAATTATAGGGGCCAGAGGTTGGTGGTTAGGGCAGACCTGACTGCCTGGCCACCTCTGATTCCTGGAGTACTGCCTCCTGCTGGGTTTCCCATGTCTCGTAAAATCACTTTCCAACCCTCCACCCCCCTCCACCTGTCCCCTATCTCACAGCCTCTGCTCAGACTGGTGCATTCATTTGGGAAACACTCCAGTCTCCTCTTCGTGTCCAGCATGAACACAGCCTTGTCCAGGCGGCCCTCCTGGAGGTCACCCTGGGCCACTTTCTCTAAATTGAGACCATGTCCTGTCAATACCGTGCAGGTGGCCCTTTCATTTGACATCTGTTTACTGTTTGCTTGTGTCTCAGGGTGGCCTTTGGCCTGCATATTCTGGAAGAAGACAGGAGACGTTTTTCAAATCAATAGCTATAGCATTAGACTTTTATATGACACATGATATGTGCGTGCTAAGGTGCTCAGTCAGGTCCGACTCCTTGCAGCCCTATGGACCATAGCCTTCCAGGCTTCTCTGTCCAAGAAATTCTTCAGCAAAGAATACTGGAGTGGGTTGCCATGCCCAAGACCCAAGGGATCTTCCCAACCCAGGGATCAAACCCGCATCTCTTATGTCTCCACTAGCACCATGGTTTAGTGTGTTTTTTTTTTTTTTATTGGTATCATTCTTGGATCTGCAAAGGCTTAACTTCCTCTGCCTGGGGTTTCATAGTTTATTTGCAGTTAGCTTTGCTTTTGATCAGACTTGACTCCCGCTTCATTTGTAACTCAATGAATCACTTGGTTCAGAAATAGCAGTCTCCTTGAAACTAATGCCACAACTTTGACACAGAAATGGATGTTTACCTCCACCTGGTCATTGTTTGACCCAGTAAACACAGACCAAGATTTGAGGATGAGAGTGTCTTCTCCTCTGGGAATGGGGTCCCTGTTCCCCACTGTTTCTGCCTCCTGCAGGAGCCCCAGCCCCAACATCCCACCTGAAAAGTCCAGATGAACCTCAGTGCTAGGCCAGAGCACCAGGGGAAGCTGTGGAGCACCATCCTCCCCAAATACATCCTGCATGGTTTTCAAGGGGTGAGAAGTGAATTTTGGGTCATTGGCGGAATTCTGGGACAGTTTGTAAGTGTGTTTCTCCAGGAAATTTTTCAACACGTTTTTTTCTTGGGGAGTGTCTTGCATGGTCTTCATCTTTGTCAGCGGGATTCTTTCACCAAGCGTGGGGATAAGGAAACCAAGAAGGGGCAGCAGTCAGTGGTCTGTGTGATACTATGACTGTCATACATGGCGTTGTAATGGCAGTGTGTTTTCCATTTTTATGAACAATTGAAGCTTCAGTTTCCTCAGTGGTAGAAGGCAGAATGTAATAATCTCTACCCCACCTATATAGAATGTTTGGATATTAAGTGAAATGAGGGATGTAATATAATTGATATATATGAAGTCTCAACAGTGACTTACCATAGCTGTAGCTATCCTACTGTATCTTTCTCAAAGAAACACAGGGAATAAGGTAGAAGTGGGTTTCTCATCCTCTTTTTTACAAGGGAGGAATTTGAAATGCAGGGAGTTTGTGACTTGGCTGTGGTCACACTGCTATTTAGAGGTATAACAGCTTAGAAGTAGTACTTCCGATTTTTCTCTGGGGGCTCAAGCAGAAGAGAGGAGTAAGAGAGGAAGCCAGGAGATGGGAAATAAATTAGGGAAATTAAGAAGCTAGAGAAGTAAGGAAGACTCAGAATAGAAAAAAGAAATCAGAGCATTCTCCATGCACAGAGACATCCAGAGAGATGGAGAGATAGAGAAATAGACACAGAGATGATGACACAGACACGTATACCCAGAAATGGAGAGACAGCAGAGAGAAGACCTAGAAACAAATGCAAGAGAAATGCTATTCCACAGGACCACACCTACAGTTGCACAGGTTGTGCACTGAGCAATTCCAAGGGGTGTCATTTCCACATGTGTCATGCTGTGACTGTACCCCCAGAGTTGTGCAGTTCTGCAAGCCTACCCCAAGAACCTTGGACCCCGGCTGCCAATGGCAAGGTTCTTATCAATAAGTGAAATCTGAACTGCAAGATTGTCAGGGAATGATTACATTCTCTTCAAACCCTGATGGGTAAAAGAAAAAGTGAATGAGGAAAAAATCCCAGAGAAAGAGATGATGCCACTTATAGTCCCCGTACTTACATGACTATGCACTCTGAGAAGGCCACCAGCCCAAGGAGCCCAAGCCACTTCATGCTTCTTTCAAGGGTCCAAAGTGCTCAGGAATAATTGAGTCCTTAGCATGCAGAGATTGCCAGGAGGTCCTAGTTATATATGCTCTGACCTGCTCGAATTGTCCCTTCTAGGCCACTAGTGGGTCTGATAAGAAATACCATTTGCTCCATAAAATCTTTACCTCCATCAGTGTCCAAGGGGAGTTGATTTGGAAAATTCTCAGAATACAGAGTTTCTACTGTAATCTTTTCCTTGTGGCTTGGCTGAAAAGCCAAACTGAACTAAGAGTGGGGAGACTTTTGCCAGTTTGGAGACAAAACACTATTGCTGAGTGCTGTGCTATGTCGCTTCAGTCAAGTATGACTCTGTGACCCTATGCTAATAAGGTGATAAAAATAAATGCCAGGGGCCATGCTAGAGATTCCTGAGCTCATGTGGTCTTCCTAGACATGTCATGAGATGTGCATTGCAGTCTTCAGTTGGAGAGGAGTTTGCTAGGAAGATAAGAGGTCAAATGACAAAATGAAGACTTCAGGGGCAGGCCAGCAACATATGAGTGACTTCAGTTAGTGGGACAGATACCACAGATCAGAGGCACCTTTGATGCCAATCTGTATCAAAGAGCTAGACTAGAGCAGTATTACAATTGCATGGTTTCATATTGGAAAAAAATGTGATACATGCACCCACAATATACTTTATGTCATCCAACAAACATATAAGGAGAATCCTGTGTGCTGGGGTCTGGGATACATGCTAGAAATTCAGAGTCGAGTAACACTCCTGCGTGCATGCTCAGTCACTTCAATTGTGTCTGACCCTTTGTGACCTTATCGATTGAAGCCCACCAGGTTCCTCTGTCCATGGGATTCTCAAGGCAAGAATGCTGGAGTGGGTTGCCATGCCCTCCTCTATGGATCTTCCTGACCCAGGGATCAAACCTGAGTTTTGGGCATTGGTGGGTGGAATCTTAACGGCTGAGACACCAAGGAAGACCAAATAAACCATATGCCCAAGCTTTTCCTTGCACTTTTTTTTTTCAAGTGAAAGGTTTGGAAGTTTTTCGGAATTGCCCTTTTCCCGGGTTTTTTGGATTAGGGGGCGGGGCTTCCCGTTACTTGGTTTTGGTTGGTTGGGGGGAGGGTTGGATTGGTTGGGTGTTTCGGGTTGCCTTGTTTGTTTTTTTTTTTTTTAAAGAGGAACCAGAGAAGGGCTTAAGTTTGTCCTTTTCACAACATGTGTGTGTCTATTTTCAATAAGAAAGAATTGAATAAAAAGCCGAAAACTACTAAAGGAGGTAATTTATGGATGAGGGGCAGGGACGTAAGCAAGATTTTTCTTGTTTTATAATTTGACTTTGCAACCATGAAGACACATTACAGAATCAAAAAACAGATCGTAAAAACATGTGTGGAAACAGAACAAATTAAAACGGATGAACCTTATTGTATCAAGTTGGTGACAAGCTGCTCAGAACAAAGCCCTTCAGTCTTAAAACTTGAATTGAAGGCACAAGTTTGTACCAACTAATTATTTTCCTTTATTTTTTTATGTTGATTTTTTTTAACAGAAAATCTTTACTTCATGGCTCTGATCACTGAAAAGCCCCAGAGGTAGCAACTTGGTAACAGTGACTATCCTGATGTCTAGCTTGCAGCCTTTAAATACCACTTCCCACCAGCAAATCTGGAGATGCCTGTAGAGATGTGATTTCAGCTCTGGGAAAGCAATGCATAGTGTCATCCTGGGAATCTTGAAGGACAAGACAGTTGAGGGCCCTAAAAGACCTGTAAGAGCTGGACAAAAATGTTAGGAATTCACACGAAGAGATAAAAGAAGGGACAATTTTAGCATCACATCAAATTGATTGAAATGAATTAAATACTTAAAAAGCCAGAAGTTCCAAATGCTAAGGGAGAGCATCTAACTTGTCACTGTGACAGATTCACCAACTCACCATTCTAAGCACTGAGAGATGGAAATAATTTTCATTAATATTTATGCTATTTTTGTTTGTATGTAGCATATTTCATGTAACTACAAAGAGTTGAAAGAATGTTCTTTTTAATTGAAGAACACAGTGTATTAAATTCAGAAGGAGTGGTAGAAACAGGAGACCACTGTTTTGCAATATCCTCATGAAAGAATGGATCTAGGCCAAGATCATCATTGGATGCTGAAACCATAAGATGGAAAGTCGAAGAGGAAGTTTATAATGGCTGCATGAGGTGATCAACATCGGGATCCACTGTAGCTCAGCATGTGTCAAAATGGGGCAAGTAGAAATTATGAGTCTCTTGAAGTGGTGCCATGAGAAATATATAGAAGTGCATTTGAAATATGCCAATAAAAACTGTTGAACTCAATTCTAGATCTAACTTCCAGTTTTCAGGGAAATACACAGATAAAGGGATAGAGAAGCAATCCTCTAAACCAACAGTCTCCAACATTTTTGGCACCAAGGACTGGTTTCCTGGAAGACAATTTTTCCAAAAACCAGTGTGGGAGGGATGGTTTCAGGATGATTCAGAGTGCTGCATCGATTGTGGATTTTGTCTATTATTATTGCATTGTGATATATAATGAAATAATTATACAAGTCACTGTAATGCAAAAACGGTGGGAGCCCTGAGCTTATTTTCCTGGAATGAGACTGTCCCATCTCTGGGTGATGGGAGAACGATGGGGAGCAGCTGGAAATGCAGATGAAGCCTCACTCACTGGCCGGCTGCTCACCTCCTGCTGTGCGGCCTGGTTCCTAACAGACCAAGGACGGGTACTGGTCTTGCTACCAGTGTTGTGGATCCCTCCTCTAAACCCAATATTTGGGACATTATATAAGACAAACCACCCCGCCTCCTCCCACTTTTTAAATAAATGTCACAAAAAGCTGGGGAGTGGGAGACTGATATCTAGTTAAAGTCTGAGAACAACCAAATGTAACATATGTTTGCATTGTCTAGTCCATGATTTGAATCAGTAAACTGTCAAAATGCATTTGTTTCTAGAGGATTAGGGAAATTTGAACATAGACTGGATATTAGATGTTAACTTTGTTTGGAACAAAAAAGCACTGTGGCTATATGTATTTTGTTAAATGGCAATCTCTTCCTTAAAATATTTAAAATAAAATGAATATTTATTCATTCAAGAATGAATAAATAGCAAAGAATAATTATAAATGAGGGTCTGTCTTAATTTAAGAAACAGATCTGTGTAGTTGCTATGGATTGAATAGTTTATACCCTCAGAGTCAGTTGTTGAATCCCTACCTCACAATGTGATGGTATTAGGAGGCAGGGCCTTTGGCAGATAATTTTGTTGAAAAGCCTCACTCACAGCAGGCCAGTGAGTGAGGCTTCATATGTATTTCCAGCTGCTCCCCATCACTCTCCCATCATCCAGAGATGGGACAGTCTCATTCCAGGAAAATAAGCTCAGGGCTCCCACTGTTTTTGCATTACAGTGACTTGTGTAGTTATTTCATCATATATCACAATGCTATAATAACTGACATGAAATCCACAATAGATGTAATACCCTTGAATCATCCTGAAACCACCCATCCCACCCTGGTTTTTGGAAAAATTGTCTTCCAGGAAACCAGTCCCTGGTGCCAAAAATGTTGGAGACTGCTGGTTTAGAGGATTGCTCAACAATTTTCTTGATGGTGGGGCCTCATGATTTCATTAGTCTCTTTAGAAGCAGAGTCAACCTAAGAGATTCCTTAATCTCTTCCTCTCTCTCCCTCTTGCTCTCTTTTATTCTCCTTCTCTCTGCCTCCTTCTTGCCTCCTGACCCCTCCACCACCATGAGTGAGGACATAGCAAGATGAGAACTGTCTGCAGGTCAAGGAGAATGTCCCCACTAGGAACCTAATTGGCCAGCACCTTGATCTTGGACGTGTAGCCTCCAGTCTATGACAGACTAGCAGAGTAGTGTTGTAGTTCTTGACGATTAGTGATGAAATAACAGGGTTCATGCTACTATTCTTTTTTATTTTTGCAATGTTTGAAGTCTTTTTGTAATAAGAAGTTTACAAATTGTCTGTGTTGAAGTTTCTGCCTTTAGGAATACCTTGAATAGCACAGGAAAAGCAGACTTGGGAAGGCCACCACTGGCTGAGTTGTTAGAGACATAGAGCTCATTAGGCCAGCTGTTCTCCCATCATATGGTCACTGTTTCCCCACTTACTCCCACCTCACCCCTGCCCTCCCCCCACTAAGGTGGATGTCATCCAACTGGAGATTTTGATGAGTCAGGTCAGGGCCTGGAGGTAGAAGGAATGTGGACATTATTAGAAAGAATGAACTGAGCGATTAACACTTAGGACTTATGACAGTCCATAATCCAAATGTCAGAAAGAAATATGAGCAGCCTGTAATGGAGACCTCCTCCCAGTGTCCTGGGAAGCTGGTGCCTAATGTTGCCTTGGGTGGAACTTTAGGAAGGCTTCGTGGCGAAGGTGGTAACTGAGCTGGTCTCCATGGATCCATGGATAAAGGATATTGCTGAGTGAGTGTGGGGAGGAGGGAATGCCTATTAAAAAGAGCAGCACTGACAATGTACTAAACTCCAGGGATCGTCAGTCACCTAGGAAACAACACTAACGGATAAATTAAATCAGTCAGTGTGGGAAGTGTGGGCAGTACAAGCAATGTACAATTTAAAAATAAGAATCTGGGGCTCTTCTGACCATCCAGTGATTAAGACTCTGCACTTTCACAGCAGGAGAATGGGTTCAGTTCTGGTTTGGGAGCAAAGATACTTCATGCCACGTTGTGGGCCCCCAAAGAGAAATCCCTCTGTCTATCACTAGTTGTCTGGGACTCTGATTGGAGATTTCTCCTGGGGATGCAGACTGGTGGAGGTTTCATCATCTGCAGTGTCACTAGTTGCTGTGGCTGGGGAAATGGCATGTGCTAATTCATGTACTGACTATTGCAAATGAAAACTGTGGCCCACCATATCATTAAACAAAGGATTAACAGCCTTCCAGGCATCACATTATAGATGCTTCTCA